TCGAGTGCCAGAGGGGTGAGGGAGGCTGGCGCGCGGGAAGGGAGAATCTCGAGTGCGGGGAGGAGGAGCTTTCCGTCCCCCCCCCCCCGCGGTGGCTGGCAGTTGTTCGCTGGGATCGCTGCCTCAAATTATTATTTCTTCTCTGTCCCAGCAGGGACACCACGAACCCCAGCTCCATGGACGCATACTTCCCCCAGTTCCGGTCCTTCGACTGGTTCGACCTGCACTCGTGGAGTCGCGGCTACGCAAGCGCAGGAGAGGAAACGGGAACGTGACGACGGGTGACCAGGCACTGGGGTGAGTCGGAGGCTTGGGCGCGGGCAGGACGCCAGCATCCCATGCCCCGGAGCAGCGACCCCCCCGCCCCCCCGACGCGCTCCGTGCAGTGCCGAGCTGCCGCCCACTCCACGGCCAGCTCCCTCGCCAGCGCACGACGGAGCCGCCAGACGAGCGTGACGATTGGGAGCAGTGCGAGTGGAGACGGCAGTGGGCATGGGGCCTCGCAGTGCAGCAGCCCTGGCGAAATCGAGGCCTACCTCGACGAGGGGTGCCTGCACTCTGGTGGCCTCGGCTGCCGCGCATTCGGCCTGACGTGCTGCCGCTTCTGCGGCGCGGGCAGTTACGCCAGCATCCCATGCCCCGGCAGCGAGACCCCGCCGCCATTGCCGACGCCCTCCGCGGCAGTGCCGACACTGCCGCCCACTCCACAGCCAGCTCCCTCGCCAGCGCCCGCGGAGCCGCCAGAATCTTCCGTTGGCATGTGTGGGCACAGGGCCTCGCAGTGCAGCAGCCCTGGCGAAATCGAGGCCTACCTCGACGAGGGGTGCCTGCACTCTGGTGGCCTCGGCTGCCGCGCATTCGGCCTGACGTGCTGCCGCTTCTGCGGCGCGGGCAGTTACGCCAGCATCCCATGCCCCGGCAGCGAGACCCCGCCGCCATTGCCGACGCCCTCCGCGGCAGCGCCGACGCCTGCCCAGCAGCTGGCGCCTGCTCTTCGGCGGTAATGTGGAGCGTGGTGCCAGCGGGCTACTCGAATTCCGCGCAACCTTCGACGCTCGCCTGCTCTTGCGACCAGTGCCGCAGCGCCCTGCCCAACCGCTCTTCGGCGGGGCGTTCTGTTTGCGCACGCTCGGCCCAGCGGCGCTGTCAGCTCACAGCTCCTGCCAGGTCTGGAACTCGCGCTTCTCTCTTGGCTCTTGTCGTTGCGCTGATTAACATGCCTGACGGGCTGTGTCCTTTGCCAGCCTCCCAGGCTGAGCCATAGTGTGGCTACGTTGGGGCAATGTTTAGGCCACCTTGGTTCATATAGGGGCCTCTTGGGCGCATCTTGGGGGCTCGAGTCACCTTCGCGACACCTTGGAAGTCTTGGGCCTACCTTGGGGCCTCTGGGGTCCATTTTAGAGGCCTCTTTAAGGACACCTTGGAGCCTTATTGGACCATTCCGGGCGATCTGGGCAGCATCTTGTGGCTTTTGGGGCCGCCTTGGTACCGTCGTGGTCAATCGCGGAGGTTCTGGGAGACCAACAATGGCGCAGAAAACATTGAACGCGGGACAGGTTTCCAATGTATTGTGCTCTTTTGCGAGCGTCCTGGGGCCAGTCTGTGCATCATAGGGGCATCTGGGAGCATTCTTCGGCCGTCTCCGGCTCTTCAGGCTCTCTTCGAGGTCCCTTTCTGGCCGTCGCTGGAGGCCTCTCGGGCTCTTCTGGCCGTCTGGTGGCGTCCCGCTTGGAGTCACGGGGCACCTCGGAGCGGCCAGGAGGCCGAGGCTCTCCTCCTGGTGCCCCTCGTGGAGCGGCGCGGCGCGGACCCCCCCCCCTGGTAGTGGAAAGTGGGAAGGCGACAGGACGGGAGAGACGAACGAACGAACGAAGCAGGCGGAAGCCCGTCTAGAATTTTATAGGGGGGCGTTTGGACCGCGCGTCCGCTGATGCGGACGGGGTTGGGTGCACAAACCTTCGCTTGTGTGTGTGTGTGACGAAGCAACCATGCGCAAAGCGCGCGTGGGCAAGGCAATTGGCGAGCCTGCGAGCAGCGGCAGACGCGTTAGCTGGCGTACAGGAGGCGCCAAGCGCGCGACAAGACAGCGACGATAGGGACGGCAGAGACAGGATAGTAAAACGACAGACGATCAAGGCACACCTACAAGACGTCAGTCCAGCATCACGCTCACAGTTTCGCGTCCCCAAGGGGGCAGGCGGATGATTCACCGATGTTTGGCCCACGACCAGGAGATGATAGAGCGCCCAGCGGTCCTGTTAGCTTCGCAGCAGACGTGCTCAAGTGTCACATGCAATGGGCCCCCGGAAGGTGGCCCGATCGTCAAGGTGGCTGGCGCACGTGGATGTTGCGCTTGCTAGAAGTGGGCTGGCGTGCAGAGGCGCCTTGCATGTGGCCCCGTCTCGACGTGGCTGGCGCGGATGCGGGCGGTTCGCATCCTAGGGGAAGCGACGCGAGCTCCGCGCCTAATACGTTTTGGAGGACCCACTGCCTGCGGGCCCCGTGTAAAGTGTTGGCGGGCCCCTTCGCTCGCATCGGGCGTGGGCAGCGGACAGCCGGAGGAGGGAGGGTGAAGGAAGGAGGAAGGAAAGTGTTTTACCCTCTGGCGCGTAACGGCCGTTACCCGGGCCAAACCCCTCCCCCCCTCTGGGGAACGGTGACGATCGTGCGTGGGGGAGGGGGGGGGGGCTGGACCCCACCCACATGTTGGTGCTTGCGCGCAGCGCACCCCCGCCCTGACGTGCCCCACTCCACCCAGGCGTTACCATTACCAGGCCCCCCCCCCCCCGGAAGCGACCGTTACCAGAAATGCCATTCAAAATGCATATAAGGAGGAAGAGGAAGAGGAGGAGGAGGAGGAGGAGGAGGAAGAGGAGGAGGAGGAGGAGGGATGGCCGAGGGGGGCTGCGCGGGCGCCTGGTCTAAGCATCATCTCGCCCGTGTGACCCCCTCCCGATTCAGAGGACCAATTTTGGCTCTCATCTTTGCTACTGGTCCGTGGCGGCTGATCTGGTATTGGTTGGTAGTGCGTGCACCTTAAAGGGAGCCGCCTTCTTCGCTTCGAGTGACCACCGCGAGGGGCCGGGCCGCACGTGTACAGGAGAAGGCTGGCAATGGCAAGACCGCGGACAGAGACAGGTCGACATTTGTTCCGGAACGCGAGAAAATTCGCTTCTGGTCCCCCATCACCGCGCACCTCCTTGTATGACTCCCTATGCTTACCCCTGGCTGACTATGTACCCTCCTGGTCATCCTCTTCGTCCCCTTCCTCCTCCTCCAGGCCGCCCTCATCCCTCGTCCCTTCTCCTTCCTTCTCTTCCCTCCTCCCCCCCTCCCCGCCTCCTTCGTTCTTTCCTACCTCCCTCTCCGTCCTCACTCCTCCCTTCTTTTCTTCTCCTCCACACCTCCCTCCCGCCCTCCTCGTACCTTCCTCCTCCTCCTCCCCCTCCTGTCTCCCTCCTCCATCCATCCGTCCCCAGGGTGCAAGCGCTGGCGCGACGGAGGCGGCTCTCTCACTCACCTCTTCCCCATGCCGTCTAGAACAAGTGTAAGACTCACCGCCCCGCAGTCGCGCTCCAGTCGGGCCCTTTGCGGTTGCATCAAGATTTATCGTTCGATGCGGGTAGGATGAGCACGGAGAGGATAAGGATGATGAGGAAGAGGGGATGAACTCACAACAGGCGCGCGAGTCGTTGTATGCATATGGCCTCACTCATATATCCTATATCCTCGGTGTTGGTTCGTCCTTGAAACATACTTCCCAGTGCGTACTCACAGTCAGAACTGAGATCACTCTAACTCTTCACCTCACGTCGCAAGATGGAGGAGCACCCGCACGGAGGGGGGTAAGGGGAAGGACGGAAGGCGGACGCGCGGGAGGGCTGGAAGGGGCGGGCGGCCACGCCTCCGACATTTTGAAATGTTGGCGCTCGTTGGGGCGATGTCTCGCAGAGGTATTCGCTTGCACAATTTGGAGAACCATCGTTCGTCGCTGTCCGGGACCGAAGGACATTGGCGTGCGCATGCTGAAGGATACGAGCAAGAATTCGGAGTTCCACTACGCATGCAATTTTCCAACGCCCCACGTGAACTCATTTCTCTAAGCCCACGTCCAGGCCTTGCTTCTGCCATGCCGCTGTCGGACCGATTCGACTCGACCAGGCCAGACCCTGCGTGCTTGGCGTTTGCAATGTGAGCCCAGCAGCTCTCGACACCATCCCCAGGGGCCAGCTTATCGTCGCGGGCCGTCTTCTGACGGCCCCGTGGCCGGAGGCGCCCCCCCCCGCGGGAGGCCGAGAAGCTCGGACGAGACGCGACCGTCATGTTTTTCAGGGTCTTGGTATCGCTCGGACGTGTGCATGTTTTCTCGGTGAGGACCATCGAGGAGCATTTGGGACCATCTCGCGAAAAAAGCACATGCACGAAACCGAAAATGCACGCGACATATACGTCCGAGCGATGACAAGGGGTGCTCCAGAGGTCTGAGCAGCATCCGCTCAAGCTGGGGGACAGGGAACCCAAACCAGAGCAAGACGTCCCAGGTCTGATTAGGGATTCCCCCTCGAGGAGAAGCCCGGCCCGGCCAAGCCTAGATTGCTCCCTCCTCCTTGATCTCGTGAAGGAGTTCTCGCCTCCTCCTCGAGGTCGGGCCCCCGGAGCCTTCATGGGGCCATCCTGGCCAGGATTTCGGGGGAAACCCGGCCGTTGCGATCAGAGGCCCCCGCGGGAAGCGCACGGAGGCCCCCACGAGCGTCCAGGGGCCTCGAGCCTCGATCGTGATTTCTATCGGGATGCCAGGGTCCTGAGAGCAAGGGGGGGGCTGAGGGCGGCGCTGGTACTTTCTCTGCCTTCTCTCCTCCGTGGCTGGTGGTCAGCATAGCGGGGTCCCCTTTCCCTCTGCGGGGAAGCTGGCAGTTTTCCATTCTCAGCGCACCGGCTGTTTGCTTTTTTTGGGGGGGGGAGGGAGGGGAAGGAGCGCTTCGGGCGGGCCCCGCCCCGAGGCCGGCCCCCGTCGCCGCGGGCCCGGCGAGCGCCGCGCCGGCCGGAGCGGCCTACGCCCTGGCGCTCGCGGCCTCCGTCGGGGCGCTGGGCGCGCTGCGCGCGAGGCCGCCGCGGCCAGCCGCGGCCGCCGACGCAGATCTCTGGCGACCGGATTTCTTCGATCGCGGTCCTGGGGGGGCCGCGTTCGAGCCCCGGGGCCATCAGACATGGATCTGCGACGAAGGACGCCCCCCTGGGAAGCGGGGGGGATTTCTGGGGCCGCGGACTGACAAAGTCGGATCAGCGGATGTCAGGGAGGTTGGATACGTGTCAGTATTTTCGGCCTCAGCTGGCGCTCGCTGGGCCCCAGGGCCGTCAAACAAGAGGTACGCGTGCCAAGGATCATGCAATCACGGATCTGGGACTCGAGGAGATGGAGATGGCGTCAACCTTGTGGTAGTTTCGGAGAAGCGCGCGAGTGCTACGACACGCTGGCGAGTGACTATAACGGGCCAGCGGCGAATAGCAGCATGACTGTCTGGACGCAGCGCCAAATTCGATCCGAAGGAGATCTTAATCTGTCGGGAGAGGTTTGCGAGGCTTCAACGGCGTTTCTTATCATGCAGGCTCCCCTGAATGCAGCGAAACGCTTGGTCCCAAGAGGAGGGTGCGAGGGCATGCGTAGCCAAGATCCGCCATCGTGTCTTCAGCACGTTGTGGAGTGCCCAAGGCTCATGCAGTCCTGAGAAGCAGGGGGGCTGTAAGGTTCTAAAGGGCCCGGGCCTTGGTTTCCAAGGCGCTTTTGCGCGCTCTTGAGCGGGCCCAGGGTGTGTCGCGTGGGCTTTTGGAACGCCACGATGGCCCGAAGACGGGCCAAGAGGGCCCTCAGATATTCCCAAGACGGTGGCAAAAGGGCCCCGAGTCGTCGAACGATCGATCCAAGATGCCCAAGATGACTTCCATATGGCCCAAGATGCCCACGACACGCCCCAAGAGGCCTTCAAGAAACCTCCCCAGAGGGCCCCAAGAGAAAGATATATGTTTGACACGTTGTTGAAATATTGCTCGTTCTTGGGAGCCTTGGTGTGAACAACATGCAACGTCACTGTGAGCTCGTCGGAACCATGGTGTAATTTGACGCCACGGTTGGTCGGTCGGATGCAGAGAGGAGGGGGGCAACGGTCGGGCAGGGAGGGGGGGGGGGGGGGCACGATCGGTCGGTCGAAATAAGCAGAGGGGGGGGACACGGCGGGAAAAGGGGAGGGCGCGGGAAGCAACGGTCGGGCAGGGGGGGCCACGGTCGGTCGGTCGGAATACTGTAAGTAGATGGGGGGGGGCCACGGAGGCAGTGTGGGGGGGCGCGGCCGTGGAACAATACAAGGCGGAAAAGAGAGGATTCTTCGGCATAGAAGATCTTGGCCCATGTCTCGGCCTTCTGCGTGATATTGGCCTGGATGTGGATGACCCGCCAGCTCCGCCTGACCCCGCAGTGGCCCAGCCACTCGCGGCACTCCCCGAAGCTAGGCTAACAGCACCTAAGGTGGCTGAGCAGCTACATCTAATAAGGAATAGCAGCCTGTGCTACACCCCTGGCAGTGGGCGAGGGGCGGCGTCGCGAAACACCCAGGGCTGCCAAGCCACATCTGAGGTTGAAGATTCCTCAGAAGCAGACGTTTCTAAAGAACATCTGTCGGATGACGAGGATATTTGGTGGAAACAGACATGGTATGGAGGCACTATTGCACGAGACGGGCTCCCCTCCGGCTCAGCCGGTAGGGGCCCTCTGTCCGATGATGACAATGACGAATCTGAGGACAATTGTGGGGCAAGCCAGACCTCGAGTCCGGCGGCCGCCGCGTCGCGGCGAAGCGTGCCTCGCATGCCGTTACAATATAACCCATTTGTAAATATCAGTCATCGCGACAAGGAAAGATTTGATTTGCATTATTTCTACAATCCTTTTATTGATATTATACCGATCATCGATGAACCCTTCCAACTTCGCAGTGACTGGCAACACGCCCATATCGATGCCGCTGTTGCCAGATCTGTTTCGAAAGACGAGGCTAAGGCGAACAAAGACGCTCGAGCTGCCTTGAGGAAAGAATGGGACAGATTGCGTGACATAGGCACGTGGATAGAGGATGGTGTCAGCGAGTACTCAGATGTAGTTGCCGAACTCAAAGGAAAAACTGCCCATTTTGGTCGATTATTTGCGATCCTCGTTGAAAAGAACTCGGAATTGCCGTTAGGACACAAAGACCGCAAGTATAAGGGTCGGGTAGTTTTCGATGGTTCAAGTGTCAGAGATCAGAATAAGGATGTGGCATTGTTTCAAGAAGTTTCCAGCAGTCCCGCGACCATGCAGGCCAGCAAAGCAGCTGATACCTACGGGTTGCTCGAAGGCCATAGCATCGAACAAGCTGATGCCCGCCAAGCCTACACTCAGTCGAAGCTGGGAGGCGCTCCTACATGGTTTTCTTGCCTCGAGACTAATGGCCTAAAGCATGGTCCAACATGCGGAACCCTGCGTGTCCACTGTACTTATCGTTGTACGGGCACCCTGATTCGGGTGGATATTGGGAACAGCATTGCGAGGGACATATTACGGCTAAAGGCTTTGTGAAATGTAGTCCGCGGCGCAGTTGTTATTTCCACAAAGAATTGCAAATCTTCTTGAGTATATATGTTGATGATTTTAAACTGTCGGGACCTGCCGACAAGCTTGCCGAAGGATGGAAGTTACTCCAAGAACCTTCGGATAATTGCCCTGAGGGCATAGAAATAGATCCTCCGACGGCTGTTGGACGATTTTCAGGATGTGAGCATAGGTTATCAAATCAAACGGTTGAGTGGCAGGGAGAATTGCCCACGATATTAGACCCGCCTCCCCCCAAGGTTAAGAAAAACGCCTCCGTCGCAGACGAGAGTAGCGAGGAGGAAACGGGGGGGGGACTCGGCGTCTCAGACGACCGAGCCATATCAGCCGAGAGAACCGAAACTGGTTCAAGTCATAGAATACGATATGACAGAATTATGTGATTCCTGTGTTACGTTATATGCTCAATTGACGGACACCGACCCGGCTACCTATCCGGCCGCGGGTACCCCGTTTGGCCCTGAACTTACTAATCTAGAAGATGGCCAGGGCGGCCCTCGAGGAGAAGTTTAATCCCCAGCTGAGGAGGCTATAGCGTCAGCGTTACGAATCAATGTTGATTCCGGCCCCCCTGATCAGAAGGTAGAAGTACTTGGCCTTGATGCCGCAACAGCAAGCCCTGATGACTCTGAGCCACCGACTCAGTCGGGTGTGCTTCAACCCATTGCAGCAAAAGTACTGATGAAGATACTTTACGGGGCGAGAATGGCCAGATACGACCTGCTCCGTGCTGTATGTCAAACTGCCAGTTGTATTACAAAATGGACAGACAGCAAGACATGGATCTCTTCCGCCACATATAGTACATCAAATGTACCTCCCATTGCCGCATGACTTCATGGGTGGGTGACACATGGGGGATGTTCTGTTGAAGCAATACTCTGATGCAGATCTGGCAAGTGACATTCGCACACGCAGGAGCACGAGTGCGAGTTATCAAGCCATTTGGGGTCCGTACACAAGAGCTGGCCAGTCTATGGGATCGCAGCGGCAAACGCGCGCGCCCCACGGCACGCTTGAGGCCGAGATCGTCGCGGCCGGCCTTGCGTTGCGCAAGGAGCTGCTTGCGGCATTGCCGCTTTGGGAAATACTGCTTGGTAGACCAGTGCGATGTTTATTTCTGGAAGATAACCAAGCAGTTTGCAAGGTCATTAAGGCGGGCGGGTCGATGAAGCTAATGCATCTACCGAGAACACAGAGAATTGATGCAGCAGCTGTGTCCGAACAGTTTTCTCGTGGCCTTGTTCAGTTACAGTATGAAAGAACGCAAAATGAGGCTGCCGATATAGGAACTAAACGATTTGTTGACCCCATGGCACGGGTCAAAGTCCTGTATCTTGTCAACATCGTTACGCCTAAATTCTGGGTCGCTAAGCGGTGCCAAGATTATCTTGATTCAATGTTTTCTGACGGACTTCCCCTGAAACCCGGGGGGATTCTGAAGCCCCGCTTGGGCCCTAGTTCGGCCTTGCGGAGAGGAGCTGCCATGCCTAGCAAAAAGTCATACAAGAAGAAGAAGCGCCCCAACAAAGGTAAACCCGTTGTGGCCGCCCCTGGCCAAGTCGCGGAGGCATGCGCCCCTAGCATGATCACTATTGCGAATGCGTCCGGCTCAGCCGATGACGCAGATAATATGACTCCTCTAATGGCCAAAGAAGGCCACAGCAGAAGCTCCGAGAAAACGAGAGCGATCGAGAACATAACCAAGAAAAGTTCTGATCGTGGAATGAAAACAGTGCTTGACATAACGGATAGTGAAAATGAGTCAGATACTTCCATGATGCCCGAAACTATGGAAGATACTCTCAACAAAAACCATTCTCTTCCTAATCCGCATTCTGCGTCGGCTGCCAGTTTCTTTGACAAAAGGGATACGTGGGTACGACGAGGACAGAGTTTGAAACGGTGACACTCTGTCCCGAGACTTGTTACGTTCATGCCTGCAATCGGTGATTGCCCCGTCGACCTCGAAAAGTTTGATGATAAACGTCGTGCCTATGTTGTCAATACCCAGCAAGGTTTGACAATTGACCGCATTGATAATTGGCGCGACGAAGAGAGCAGATATCATCATCCATTTGAACGCGACTCGAATGGCGATTCTAGCGACGGTGACTATTGTCTGAGTAGATGGACCGGATACACAGAGTTCTGGATCCGAGGAGATTGCGCCCCGGCCACTCAGTGGACCGGGGAAAGACTTTTGTTAGAATACTGTTGCGGCCCTCAAAGCAGAATAGGAGACCCAAAGCATTTCGTTGACAACTCATGCAAGGTGATTCGATACACCGAGAAGGAAGACATGAGGACGGATGAGGGACTCAAAATAGCGTTGAACGACATAGATACGTTCAAGGGAAAACATATTACATGGTGGGGTTCTATGCCCTGCACGGGTGGCTCTCCCTGGCAATATGTGAATGAAGCGCATTATTTCCGTGCGGGAAATCATAGAGCGATGCGTAG